GATTTCAAGATTTTAGCTTTCCAAAATCCTGAATTGAAGATTTTTGGCGATTTGTAGATTTTAGCTTACCAAAATCGTGAATTCAAGATTTTGGACGATTTCAAGATTTTAGCTTTCCAAAATCTTGAATTAAAGATGTTGGCCGATTTTAAGATTTTAGCTTTCAAAAATCCTGAATTCCTGAAGATTTTAGCTGACCCGTGCTCGCTTAGTTTCGCGGGTTCTATTTCTGGTGGCCAATTAGCCAGAACCGACTAATGCCTCGGCCTTTACTTCTGCCAGCGTGTTGATTAGTGTTTAGCGCTTCACCTCTATTAGCATCTTATGCAGAGCATCGACTAGTTGCTCAGCTTTGACTACGGCCACTTTGACACTTTGACGCAAGGCCTCCACTTTTGCCAGCGTTTATGCCAGAGCATTGAATAGTGCTTCGGCCGTCACATTATGGAGTGTTCGCTTAGTGTTTCGGCTTTCACTTCTCCTTCCCTGTCAACCAGAGCATCCATTTGTGCCTCTGTCTATACTTTAGCCATTGTGTTGCTTTGTTTGTCGGCCTCCTTTTCTGCTAGCGTGTCAGCCAGAGCATCGACAGTCGGTTAGTATTTTGAGCTCCTCTTCTGCTAACGTGTCTCGGCCTAGACTTTAAGCATTCTTTCGATTAATGTCTTGGCCTGCTTCTCTGCTACCGTGTCAGCCTGACCGTGGAATAGTTATTTTGTCCATCATATTGGCCAGTGTTGGCTTACTCTCGACCTCCATATGTTAGCGTATTAGCCAGCGGCTCGACCAATGTCATGGCCCCCATATCACTCAGTGTCTTTTCCTTGTCGCACCCTTTTTCTTTCCTAGCGTGATCCGGATCAGATCCGACTCCTCTGCTAGCGTGTGAGCCATGCATCGAGTAGCGCCTTAGCGTTTACATTGGCCATAATTCTCTTAGTATATCGGGCTCCACTTCTTTTGCCCAGTCAGGCAGAGCCTCGACTATTGGCTTGGCCTTTAGGTTGACCGGTCTTTTGTTAGCCTCTCGGGCACCACCACCACTTGCGTGTCAGCCAAAGCATTGACTACTGCCTCGGCCTCTAGGTTGACGAATGTTTCCATTGGCCTCTCGGTGTCCATCTCTTTAGCATGATACCCAGAGCATCGAGAGGAAGCCTTGGCCTTTGCATCGGCCATTAGTGTCGCGGTCTCCAGATCTGCTAGCGTGTGAGCCAGCGCATCGACTACTGCTTTGGCTTTCACTTCGGCCACATAGTCGATTAGTGTCTCGGTCTCCACCTCTCTAAGCATGTTAGTTATAGCATCGTCTAGTGCCTTCGCCTTCACATCGGCCAGTGTTCGCTTAGGGCGTTGGGCATTTCCGATGCTTGCTTGTGAGGTAGAGCATCGACTAGTGACTCGGCCTCCACTTTAAAAATTCATTCGATTAATGTGTTGGCCTGCTTCTCTGCTGCCGTAAGAGCTTGATCCTCGACTAGTTATTTTGCCCTTTATATTATGTAGTTATTGCTTACTGTCTTGACCTTTATGTTTTGTTAGCGTATTAGCCAGCGCATCGACTAGTGCCTCGACCTTCACATCGGCCAGTGTGTCACTTAGTGTCAAGGTCTTAACCTCTCCTAGTGTATCAGGGAGAGCATTGACTATTGACTGGGCTTTAACTTAAATCAGTGTTTCATATATTGTCTCGGCCTTCACTTCTGCTAGCCTGTGAGCCAGACCATCGACTAGTGCCTCGGCCCTCACATAGTTTCAGGGTATCTCTTAGTGTCAAGGTCTTCCCCTCTTCTAGCGTGTAAGCAGATGCAATGTGTTGCTTAGTGCTCAAACTTAAGTTTTTTGAAAGCATGTAACCTATAAGATCTTATAGTGCGTCGGCCTTTACTTAAAGCCGCGTATTGGTTAGTGTCTTTGGCGTCCACGATTGCTAACATGTATGCTGGACCACCGCCTTGTGGCTTGGCCTTCACTATGGCCAACGTGCTGCTTAGTCTCTAGGCGTCAACCTTTGCTAGCGTGTCATCCAAACCATCGATTTTTGCTTCAGCTTTTACTTCGGCCACATTGTCGATTAGCATGTTGGCCTCTACCTCTGCTAGCATGTTAGCCAAAGCATCGACTACTGTTTTGGCCTTCACCTAGGCCAGTGTTCGCTTAGTCTCTTAGGTTCCTTGTCTGCTAGCTTGTCCGCCAGAGCATCGACTAGTGCCTCAGCGTTTACATTGGCCAGGTTGTGGCTTAGTGTCTGGGCTTCCTAATCTGCTAGCGTGTCAGCGACTTGTACCTAAGGCTTTTTTTCAAAAGGTCGTTGATTAATGTCTCAGCATGCTTCTCTGCTACCGTGTCAGCCAGATTATTCACTAGTGCTTAGGCAATCACATCAGCCACTGTTTCGATTAGTGTCTAGGCCTCCACCTCTGTTAGCGTGTCAGTCAGAGCATCAACTTTCGCTTAGGCGTGCACTGTGTCGTTTAATGCCTCGGCCACAGGTTCTGCA